AAATTTGCCCAAAATACTTCCCCTTTACTTAGAACCACCCGCACTGGGGAAGTCGTCGACGATTCTTTTTTGCCGTGGTAATTTCGAAAAGTCGGCTGATAGAATTTTTGAGTCTTGCTGCTATTCCTTGCCAGCAATTCATCATCGAAAACGAATAATCGCACAGAAGCTAGTTTTCTCACTGTTGCTAAAGTCCAACAAAATGCACTGGAGCTACGTTTATACCAAGCCGCGCACATCAGAACAGAGCAAACAAAAAGTTTTTCTCCAAAACTAACTTATCTGACGAGGTCCAATTGTGGTAATGGTAAGAAATGTATACGACTGAATGGACCGAAACACTTCTTGGCATTAAAAATAATTTCCAATATATTTAAAATTTCCTAATTTCTTCTTTTCAACATTAAGATATCATTCGATCAGTACGATGCCCCGCTCAGTTACTCGTTTCTCCTGCCATCTACTGAGCAACCAAAACCTCTTCGCTTCTGCTGCACTCGCTCTGCATTCATGTTTCATTTCGTAGATGCATTCAGGCGTCCTTCCTCTTTTTTCTTTGCTCCCGTACCTTTCATTGCACAACTGACAAACGGCAGCTACTATTCAACAATCCCCTTTGTCCATCCGCTGTTCAGCCCCCGTGTCATTAGCTTCCCTATTTATGAAACTGATGCTTAGGCAAAGCCGAGAGCGAATAAGTCCCATGAAGTGAGCATAAGCAGAGCAGATTGGGATAAGACCAGCCCAGCTCTTCTGCATGTCTTGCGTTGCCTTGATCACATCGTGTTCATAACAAATTAGAACAGCAGGCACTTCACTGAAGATATGCGCTATATCTTGCTGGGATACCTGTTAGGCATACTTTCACAGCTCGTTGGATAACCAACACATTTGAAAAATCTAACTTTTTGGTTTATCAGTAAGCTGAATCTATTCGTTTCCAGAAACTTTTTTTAGTACGAAACGGTGGAACTGAAAGAGCACATTTCACACCGACTTGCGTAAAGTCCTTTCAAATTTTGAAAAAGGCACAGTATCCGGAGACACACGCACTGGGACAACGAGAATAAATAGCAACGCACACCAGGCTAGCCGGTACGATCATGCGTTTTATGCAATTCAGCCCATCGAACGATTGTCTATTAATGTGAAAATCATTTTCACTACTTTGTACTTTAGTTTATGCAAAAACAGTTCAAACATTTGAAAACAGTCAAAAATTTCACGCGCCAGCACATGAAAGCTGAATTCGAAATCTTGAAGGATGAATATTTTTCCGTGATTCCCGAGTTAACAGTTTACCCGCCAAAATTTTCACTAGCCCGTAGGTGATGCCCGAGAGCGCGGGAACGCTGAATTTGAATGGGCAAGGTTGAGCGTGGGCAGTGGGTCATTACCCTAAAATTCCAGCCTCCTAGACTCCGTGGTTCCCGAGATATTAACTTACTCATGAAAAACTTTCACGGGGCCGTATGTGTTACCCGCAGGTACGGGGAAGCTGAATTTAAATTTGCGGGGTTACACGTT